TTTTTTTTTTTCTCTCTCTCTCTCTCTCTTAAATTATAGTTTTATCTAATTTTTATGTGGCCGTTGTGCCACTCCACTTAATGTGTCTTCTCCTGACAGAAGACTGGTCTAGACGGGTTTTATTTGCATTGGGCTGTTTTCGTGGCTTAACGTTGGCCGATTTGCATGCCGGGTTGCATGTGACCTGATATTAGATCTGGTATGGAGGAATTGGAGATCTTCTGTATATTTAGTTAGTAGTTATTGGAGAAGGGAGGGGAGGAAGAGGACAAGTAAAAGTTATCGAAGAAGTACAGTATCTCCCATCTAGATTGAATCAGAAACAATGGAAACTCCACATTCTCTTGTGTACAACTGGTAGACTGAACAGTCCCTCGTAAAACGGACAAAGGAGAGTTCCAACAGACAGAGGGTTGATCGGTATATATCTATCCTTTGTCACCAGGGGTTTTTTTGCGTCTCCCTTGGACAAAAGACTTAGTTTATCATAATAGAATTCATTTAGTCTTGTGACCATTGCGGTTTGTTCTGAGTCAAGAGGTAGTATAACCTAATATGCACTCCATACTTCTATACAATGTATAGACGTGGAATACCTGAGCTCAGCCAGTCCATCCATGATTGACAGATTGACAGGCTCTAATTAGTGTGTAGATGGGATTTTCTGCAATCCTCAAACACGACATGTTTATTACAGTAAAATACCAGTTAGACTCTATAAGCAGCCTTTCTTTGTCTATCCATGACTATGATGTACTTACTAGTCATCTGGATGTTCAACCTCGGTTCAATCCCGTAAAGCCGTGGGTGCCAGAAGAAGAACCCAACAGAAACACGACTTCATTCGGATCGAGGATCTATTTGACCTGAATTAGGTACACTTTTATATAGAAGCTATCTTCTTATTCAATCTCTTGTCATTTTGACTCTGCACAATTTTGTTCAGACAAGATATTGTAATCGGACAACCGGCAGTCATCGGTTATCGATAACCCAAACCCCAAGCTTATATAAATATATTCCCCCGCACCGCCGCTGCATGAGACACTTACGGACAACAACATTGAAGGACATCCATTACATCCTTTACGAATCCACCGTGTAGAGCACAATAAACAAAGAAAAATTCATATTCATAATGTCAAAAGCTGTCTTTCTCTCCCAAATTGAGGGCAAGCCGGGGCAGGTTTACTATCCCCTCTCCGTTCAGAACCTACCCCAGCCGACACCGGAGGGTCGCGAATTATTGGTGAAAATGACCGCAGCGTCGCTGAACCATCGCGATGTCTTTCTGCGCCAGCATCTTTATCCCGGTATCACATTCAACGTTCCCATGGGGGCAGATGGTGTGGGAGTGGTCGTCGGTGCTGGTCCCGGGGTGTCGAATCCAGAACGCTGGCAGGGAAAGCGGGTCATACTGAACCCGGGAACGGGCTGGAAGGACTCGCCTGATGGACCGGAAGACCCCAAGGGGTATCGGATCATGGGCGGTACCAAGCTCTACAACAAGGGCACGATGCAGGAGTACCTCACCATCGACGAGTCCGAGGTAGAAGAAGCCCCGGAGCACCTGTCCGATGCGGAGGCCGCTGCTCTGCCCTTGACAGGATTGACGGCATGGAGAGCCTTGGTGGTCAAGGCCGGCGAAAGAAATTCGGGCAAGGGTGCTGCAGTTCTGGTTACTGGTATTGGAGGGGGTGTTGCGTTGATGGCACTTCGGTTCGCCGTGGCCAAGGGTGCAGATGTCTACGTGACAAGCTCCAGTCAGGAGAAAATTCAAAAGGCAATTGAATTGGGTGCAAAGGGAGGTGTGAGCTACAAGGAAGAAGGCTGGGAGAAGAAGCTTTTTACAATGCTTCCCTCGGGAAAGAGGGCCTTCGATGCTATTATTGATGGTGCCGGTGGCGATTCAATTGAGAAAGCGGTCAGATTGCTCAAGGTGAGCCTCTTAATCTCAATGCACTAAATCCAGTTGGATGTCACTGACAACACCCAGGCTGGTGGTGTGCTCTCCGTTTATGGAATGACTGTCTCTCCCAAGATGCCTTTCTTGATGCAAGCGGTCTTGAAAAACATTGACGTTCGTGGCTCGACTATGGGTTCCCGCAAGGAATTCGAAGATATGGTTGAGTTCGTCAAAGCAAACAAGATCTACCCCGTGATCTCGCGCGTTCTGCAGACCGAACTGGGTGATACCGCGGGGCTCGACGGGCTGTTCCAGGATATGAAGGAAGGCAAACAATTCGGGAAGTTGGTTGTCGAATTCGGGAAGTCTTCGGGAAGCAAATTGTAAGGATCTAAGTTGGTAATTGAATCTTTAGCGAATCTCACCGTATGAATGTGATATGTGTACATAGCCCCGGTCGGGATGGAATGGACTCACTGTGTGATTGCCGATGAACTTGGCACATAGCACCGACAAGGACCGAGATCGAGTGATGGAATGGATATCATTTGTAGTAATGAGTATTCTTACCTTTGGTATGATCTATTTCGTCGGGTCGCGCTTTCCTTGTTAGGCATTCATCCCATCAGGTCGTTATAGACCTGGCTATAGGACCCGGCGCAGTATGATCTCTTGAAGAGAAACCAGTATAGCGCTATCATTATATAGCCAGTGGCACATATATTTTCGTATCTTAAGGAAGTGTCACCCCATTCATTAGCTCCTTGTTGTTTTACCCACGAAGCTTCGGCGACTTGAGGCCCGGGGATGAGCGTCGATATCATGCAATTATATGGACCCGGTCTATCCTTTTATCTGGCTCACAGAAAGCCTTCAGCACGAATGAATGCGCCCGTGGGATCGTCCAGCATGTCACTCAGGGATGTCGCTGTTTCCACTGTGATGAGATCCAAGAGGTCAATCGGCATCCTAGATCAAAGCAATACAAACAAACTAACCTCGAACATCTGCCATAAATACTCAGCTACTCTGAAGGCATTGCATGCCAGCAATGAGCTACTAGAAACCAGAGCGAGAAAGCTAAGCAACAATATTGCTGAACTTGAGCTAGATGTCACGAGAGTCCAACGCCACATCAAAGCCTTTCAGGGGGAGATTCTGATGACATGGCAAGCCGACATTCTTACTCGTCTCGTCGAGGTTGTGTACGAACGGAGTGGGTGGAAAATGCCGGGAGGTATCACTGTCAGTTCCCATGAGGGCATGGGTGAGGCGAAGGTTACTCTGATGTATAGGACTGCGGCACGGAAGATCAAAAAGGAGACGTTGAGGAGGAGGTTCGGCCTTTCGGTGCAATACTATCTTGCCCTGCAAAGGTATGACGAGGTGAGTTATCCATTCATTAAAACTGTTGTCGGCCTCTGATCTTCTTTTCGTCTTACCTCATTGTAGATTGTCTGCTTTCGAAGCACGAATCCGTTTCGCTCAGAGTGCACGTTCGCTCACTGGCTGATGTCGCAAAAGGAGAATCACGGTCGAATCGGTCTGTTCAATTTCTGGGCAAGATTATTTCCCTTATGCTACGGTCGGACTGTGAAGGAAACATATGAGCAGTTCTAACGATCTGAAAGAGGGCGGCAGTTCATTCAGACATTCATTCATTTTGCTTGTTTCGATGGTTATTTTGAGCTGCGGAAGTTGCACCAATGAGGTTCATCCATGGTCGGCTCTGTGGCTTCAGACTCGCTGGGTGAGACATTTTAGATAACATGTTTCTCGTTAATTGAAAGAGGAGATTACGCTTGTCCTGGTCGTCTGCCACCGAGACGCCAAGACGCAGATGCTATGGATTCTCATAAGGGCAATGCAAGATTCATTGGTTTCATGTCTCCGGAGGCGAGTATCTAGTCGACTACAGTCACCTCCAAGGACGAATATATCTATTTTCCCAGTAGGTGCACCAAAATGCTATGAATTCCCCACTGAAGTTGTGTATATTGTTCTGCCTACAGTATACTGGGCCGTACTATTGATCTTGGGTTGTTAGGAGGTGATATAGCATGACAGGGCTTGATATTCAAAATCAATCTGACGGCCTCAATTAATCAGAAAAGCCCCAAGGGTAGTGATTATATCACCGCCGAAGTCACATAGTTAATCGGCCTTAGAACTGTATATACCCTAGAACGTCCATTTTGCCTGAATAGCATGAATATTCGTGTAGGATACTTGGCAGAGCACCCCTAATGGATGCTAGTCTATAATGGAAGGTATTGTCTGTAATTTGACATTAGTCTGACCTCATTTTTGGTCGTTTCTTGGCCATAGAATGTCAATGTTTCCTGTTTTCTAGCGCCACGCTGGCTAGGATTCCACAGAAACGTGGCCGGCCAAATCACGTCGTGGTGAGGATTGACCGACAAGTGGCGAGCTGTAGAGAGATAGCATGACTATTCTGTCTCGCAGATAGTTCTGATCGACAGCTGCAGGCCCTATTGCACCGATAACGCACCCCTTTCCGTTACTGAACGACACATCCGCTGAGGGACCTCGTCGTGGGGTCATATCGGAGAGGACAGGAGTGAACGCAGGCTCAACGGGCACGAGTGGCCGCGAGACACCACACCCCAGTATACGCAGACTAGTGAGTCCCTAGGAGGACTAAAAAACTCAAGGATGGTCTATGAAAGGACGACCTCGTGCTCTCATCTACACCGTAGGTACCCAATCTGCAGTGTGCGAGCATCCCACCTGCGCATACGGCTCAATCAGAGCCATCGACACCAAAAATATCAGAAACCCAGCCACTCAGAGGTGCGTTCGCACCGGTAGGTCCTGGGATCGTCTCTCAACCGGGCGGTGCTGGCTGAGTCCCTCTGAGCTGAAATATGGGTCTTTTTCCGAAAGACAGGTTACTCGGTACGAAAAGACTCAATTCTCCTTCTTTTACCACGTTTTTTGAGCAGCGTTGAATGGAGTCGAGATGGATATTTTGGGGATGCGTCTCGCGTAGCCGAATGGTACGCCTGAACACCGTTCTGCTAATCAGTGGATGATACCGTTGGAGTAGCCGGTTTGCCGCACGACCCCTTTCTCTCTCGTTGCAACAGTTTCTGCGACTAGCGTGTGTATATTGGGGATATGATGTCTCTTCTGTTTGGTGCGAATGGGTTCATCTTAGGTCATTTCCGATAGTCGTTCCGGAGGTCTCCCGTGACGAGGGACGGGTTGACATTCTCTCACCCACGGAACAACACCGAAGTAGTATCCAATTGCTAAATATATCAACAGAACAATATGGGGTCTTTAGCATTCCAAACTTCTCTTCTCTTCTCTTGAACGGCCAGTTGCAAAGTACGGAGTACCTTTGCGAGCGTTTTTGTTTTTTTTTTTAGAGATAGACTAAGATAAAAATATTAGCCGAACCGTAACTTTCTCGGTGGGTAAGATGCATAGCGTTTTGGGTATCGGTACCCTTTCTTCCCCCCAAAAACGATACTAAGAATAGAATCCCGAGGTAACAGCCATCAACAATGGATGTCAGCTTGAATTCCTTCATAGGGAATGCCGTCATATTCTTTTGTACAAAGTCGATGCATCCAATGCAACCCTCTCAGTTCCACGAATATATATTTAACATGGTATGTCAGAGTTAGATGCATATATGATTTAGTGTCATGCGCCCAACCCAAAAGAGGTGGATAAAGGTCAGTCCGCCAGGCTTAGTAAGTAGGACAGATGATCATGGATCTCTGCGATCCTTAGGTACCGACGACTAGTTCATAGTGTACCAGATACAGATGATACTGTAGTACTTAGGTATACGTATGTATACTAGTAAAGTACGGAGTAGTCAAGAAGGAATTACCTCCTGAGAGGCTGTGACTAACGGTATTCCAGACCCCCGTTGAGAATCTTGGCTCTTCTACACCGGCGACACATCATAACGGGTGAAATTAAGATATGCCTCTATCATGCCATGTGGCAGAGGTAAATGATGCGACACTCCACCGACCCCATCACTATAAGACTGGCACTTATATATATTAAGTGTGATCCTCATAAATCAGTAATATACGGCAGGCACGTCACAAAACGTTTAGTTAGATTAAAGATATTAATACCAGCTCCAATATTCCATTGATTATACCTACTCTATGTAGTATCTTGCTTGCGCCAATCGTGAAGATTACTTAAACCGTATTTCATATATCGCCTTAATTCCGCCTGTTAAGATCAGCCAATGATGGCGGAAAACGATCAATCGATCAGTTCACTGGCCAATTTTTACTTACCCGAGCGACACGAAATTAACCTGTACCCGTAGGTAGAAAACCATGGATTCCCGACTAGAGTGACCCAAGGCCTTGACTAAAATTAATTAACCCTGAGCTACCAACCTAATTTTGCTCAATAGTCTTGTTCTTGGACAAGAACGAGAGCGTCTGACCCACTGGCCAAAGCTGAGAGCAACGTTTCATCCCACATTTACCCTCCGAAATTCCTGAAGAGTCAGTCTGCTTCAACCGTCGGAGGTTTGCACATCCTTCCCGACAATCATCGATCCCGATACTATGTACATAGTAGTAGAAGCATATACCCCATTGAGAGTGGTCTCACTTGGTTCCCAGGTGCGGTGATCGTCCATTGCGACTTTTTGTCCGGTACAAACAAGGTGAACTACCGATGTTCCTGGATAGTTAGGTTCTATAGATGTCTTACTCCCATTACTGTACCTTGCACGGTACCTGAACTATAACTCTATATCACGTCGCTAGGTGTAGTCTAAGCTCTCTAGACAACTACCTAGAAGACTCTAGATACCAGACTAAACTCGCCAATAATTTATTTAAAATTTGGTCACTTGCATGGAGGGGAACACTGGTGAGACATCTGCGGTTTATCCCTAGGAGATACAGCGATGATCCATGGATGCAGCGTGGTCGCTTTTTTTTTTTTTCATTTCGTTATTTCCCTCGTTTGAGCTTAAGTTACAGATGATTGACACAGGGCGAGTCCTTTCCAAGGGGAGACTCTAGCGAGAACCGGTTTCCTATCTTGGTGTTTATGCGCTATGCTATAGGGGCCCGGGCCGGGGTTTCAAGGGAAACAGACGGTTGAGGCTGGCTGAGCCTGCGACAGGAAAGCCGAATGGGGAAATCCATGATGGTCAAACATGGGACTGGATTCCCCGACGGCCGGATACCAAAATTTTTGAATTTACAACCTATGTCTACATCTGTAATAGTAATCTGATCGACAACCTTTTTCCCCAGCCCCCAAAACGTGCCGATCAGAACGGCTGGCGCGGAGCTGTGGACCATTTTGGCACCTATTCAAACTTTTTTTTTTTTTTTATTTATAATAATTATTGAATTTTTGAATTTTTGAATTTTTTTTAAACCCCTTCTTTCTGCTTTTCCTTGGTGGCTCACTGGCCCGATGGGACACGGTTAGGGATCTTGTTTGACAAGCACTTGGCTAACTTTAGTCTATGGCTGCGCCGCAGTCAAGAAGTCACAGCTATGACCCCGTGCGGCATGCAGATGTATGTACAATGTACCCTGTATGACAATTAATTGTACATATGGGT